CCTCTCTCTGCTCTGTTACCGGACACGGTCATTTCAGAGCGCGTCCTTACACTCGCTAAACGCACTGTGTGACACTGGCCTTCCTCACCTTCCCGACGGAGGCAGAGGCCTCTGCTGCTGCTGCTCCTGCACCCTGGGCTGGCACAGGAGAGGCCCGTCCCCTGGGCAGGGAGAAAGGGCAGCCCAGAAGGCCCTCCCGTGGAACCAGCGATTATTTATGAAAGCCTGGATCGTCGTGCTTTATGTCGAGAAAAAGCAGTCAGATCAAAACGGAGGCTTGCGATCGGAATCCCCGCCCCCCGGCTGGGCAGAGGGCCCTCCTCACACGCCCCGTTGACAGAATCGACTCTACGCATCTTTTCATGTCCCTGTTGGGCCACAGAGACGGGCACTGTTGGCAATTTTTAGGTGCTTTGACCTTTTTTCTCTTTCTAACTCATTCCTGAATACATTACTCCTGCGTACTGGATTAAGCAGACCACGGGGGGTGGTGAGGAGGTGGCGGTGAATGAGACTGCAAAGTCCCCGATTTCATAAATATCTCCCCCACCTTCTAGTGGGAAAGGCCAGATAATCTAGTCACATACAAGAAACCAACAAAAATATCCGATACTGATCAGTGCCACGCAGAGAATTCGTGTGGTGCGGGCAGATGGCCGCAGAGTCAGGCTGGGTGGACAGAGGGGCCCTTGGGGAAGGCGACCTCTGGGCCGCGATCCGAATGAAGAAGGAGTCAGCCCCCCGGGGGCGTGGAGAAGGAGCGGTCCAGGCCCTCGGGTGGGAGGGAGCTGGGAGGGCTGAGCTGTGCTGGAGAGTTGGTGGGCAGGGTGGGAAGCAGAAAGCAATGGGAGTCGTGGTCCAGGACCTGTGCAGAAGCCACGTCGCACAGGGCTTTGCTGCCCGGGAAAAGGAGTCTGGAGTTTCTGCGTGCGAGATGCGAGATGCGAGCCTTAGAGCGTCAGAGCAGAGGGCGGGGCGGGGCCCGGTGTGCAGGCTCAAAGGCCAGGAGACCAGGAGCAGCAGGCGGTCCGCGCAGGGGGCAGTGCAGGCTTGGACCCTGGAGACGCAGAGGAGTGGACAGACTCGGTATCCGTTTTGGAGCAGCGTCCCCAGGACAAGGAGTCAAGTGCGACTCTCAGGTTTGCCTTTAAAACCAGGCAGGTGGCCACGTGCTAAGACGAGGTGGGGGCGCCTTGGGGAGGAGGAGAATTGGGGTGGGGGCAAGGTACGGGCTGCAGACGTAGCTTTGGGAGTCACTGGCGTACACGTGGGATTGCAAACCTGGGACGGGGAAGACCCCCTGAGGAGAATGTGTCGAGGGAGGGGAGAGCTCACAGCCAAGTTTGCATTTTCGATATTCAGAGGTCAGAGCATTGAAGAAGCGAGCAGACAAAGGGACTAGGAAGGCGACTTCCAGCTGGCCAGTGAAGGAGGAGCCCCCGGGGAGAGAGTGGTGACCCAGAAGCCAGCAGACCGTGATGCTGCAGGACAGAGGAAGTGGTCGGCCAGGCTGACCTTGACTGAGAGGTTGAGAAACATGAGGACAGAGATGTGACTGGATGTTCGTCGGCCTGGAGGGCATTGGCGACCTCGATAAGAGCCCTCTCTGTCACATGGTGGGGACAGCAGTCCAGGTGTAGCTGATTGATAGACAGTACACGTTCAGCCGTGGAGAGACAGGGAACCAGTTAGCAGAGTGCCTGCAAATATTTTGACTCACTGTTCTTTGTGAAACTTGGTATTAGATAAACGCTACTATATTATTCATGATTTTTTTTTCTACTTTCTACCGTAGAGATCATTCATTCAGTTTCCTTTTTTAAAAATTGTGGTAATAGACACGCTAACTCATATGCACAAGAGAATAACTCAATTCATGAAAATACGAGGCTTCTCCCTCCACTCAACCCTCTCGTTTTTAAAAATTATTCGTTTTTTTTTTTTTTTTTTAAATCATGGTAAAGTATACGTAATATAAAATTTACCATTCAGCCATGTTCCCGTGTACGGTTCAGTGGCATTAAGTGCCCGCTCAGGGCTGGGCAGCCATCCCCACTGTGCGTCCACCAGCTCTTCCATCACGGGAAACTGAAACTCTACGCCCACTCAGCAACTCCGTCGCCCGCCTCTCCAGCCCCCGGCGACCAGCCCTCTGCTGTCCGTCTCTGTGAATCTGATTACTGCAGGCATCTCCCGTAGCTGGAATCACACGGTACTGTCCTTTCGTGACCAGCTTACTTCACTTAGCATCGTGCCTTTAAGGGGGTGGCACGTGTCCGAATGTCCCTTCTTTCTAAGGCTGAATACCACTCCGCTGTAGGTACAGGCCACGTTTGGCTCATGCATTCATCTCTCGACAGACATTAGGTGTGCTTTGACCTTGGCTCTTGTGAATAATCTGCTATGCACACATCTCGCTTCCTCGTTCAACCTAGCACACCTTTCTCGCTTTTCTGTGCTTGACCGAGCAAGAATAGAAAATCTGCACCGATGTCATAAAGTTGTTTTGGATTATACTGAGGTCTGATCGTGTATACTCTGTGACTACACTGTTCTACGAACATTAATAAGAAGTATTAAATTTCCGTAGAGATATTACTCTCCAGATGATGCTACCTATTTTGGTCACCAATAAGACATCCCTAGAAGCTCGTGACTGCGAGGAGAAAGCATTTGGACTTACGGGGACTAGTAATTCAAAAGTTGAATTTTCCCCGGGGTTCCATGTGTCGAGGTGCCTGCAGGAGTCACCCTTGGCGGGCACACGCGTCGACTGGCAGACAGTAAGACACCGCACTTGAAGTGGAGTGCCGATATTTATTTCTATCCTTACGGGTTTTTGTTTGAGAAATGACCTCTACAGGGGAATGGGGTGGCCGGTGGAGTGACAATGAATAATCATGTTTTAAACAGGAGCAGCTGTGTGTGCACAGTATTCCTTCACAGCATCCCCCCAGCAGCCCCACAGGTGGGTGTTACCTTCGGCACCGTTTTATGAATGAAGGAATCAAGGCTGAGAGAGGTTAAACGTGCTGCCGAAGGATGCAGAGCCAGGAGGTGGTCGTCTGTGCCCGGGCAGTTTGTGTTCTTAAACCAAGTCCCCTGTAAATGCCTTCTAGGGTGACATGTTTTGAAAAAGAAATCGAAGACACCCCAGTTCCCCACAGAGAGTTCTGTTTGAATTTAAATCCTACGGTGTGGAGAGCGGGGTGCAAACTGACAAGGTCCTTGCAATCTGTGAGGTCAACCAAGGGTTGCCTGGCCTCCACATGTCCTCCTAAGAATGGGGACTCAGGAGCTGATGGAGAACCGTGCTGTGTTGAAATGCAAAGGATTATAGCAGGGTGTGCGGGATGGGGGTTACCCTATGGAAATGCAAATGATTAAGGTAGGATGTGGAGGTTGGGTGGGGATAATCTTATTTTAGCCAGCGAATGTGTCAAAGCAACTTGCCCAAATAAAATCCCATGAGTCCTCCTGAGAATGGGGACTCAGGAGCTGATGGAGAACCGTGCCGTGTTGAAATGCAAAGGATTATAGCAGGGTGTGCGGGATGGGGGTTACCCTATGGAAATGCAAATGATTAAGGTAGGATGTGGAGGTTGGGTGGGGATAATCTTATTTTAGCCAGCGAATGTGTCAAAGCAACTTGCCCAAATAAAATCCCTCTCTACTCCATCCTGAGGAGATACTGAGCCTCCCGATCCCAGCTTTCTGTCTTCTTTCTTTCTCAAACTGCCCCCGTTCCCACTCAGGATTATTTCCCAGGGCCGCGCTGGACGTGGCGGGATCTACCGCTGGCTGCATGCGGCACTGTGGACACCCACGCCGCACCGCGAGCCTGGCAGCGTGTCCGCTGAGGCCTCGGGAGGGTCTTTCCCATGCACCCCGGGTCCTGGGAGCGTTACCCGGGGAACGGCAGGGCGGATGGGCCACTTTCTCCTGTCTGGGCCACTGTGAGAGAGCACAGAAGGCAGGTCCCGTCCCCCATCCGGAATGATTCACGAATGCAGATGAGGGAAGAGAGGAAGGTGGTGGAGCGTGCCAGACCCTGACCGTGAGCCATGATGGTGACAGGGACCGACCGTCCGCAGTGCACGGATGTGCCCGAGCCCACGGGGCTTCTGCCGGCACCGCGCTCAGATCTAATGCAGGGTGTGGGCGTTCCCAGCAGCGGACCCGATTTCAGAAACGCACATAGGCGAGGACCCCCGCTCCCTCCCGGTCCTCCGGAAGCTCGGCTCCTCCTTACCGATGGTCCTGTCTCCGTCGGGGTCCACCTCCTGAGCCATGCTCAGGGCCTCCGTGGTGGCGATGTCCACGTTGCAGGGCACCACCACCAGGTTGATGGTCTGCTGCCTCTGGATGTACTTCCTGATGAGCGCCTTGATCTGAGGAAGAGCATGTCTCTGGTCACCTGACAACGCCGTGCGGCCGGTGTCGCCCAGAGCGGGACACGGCGTTCGCACTCTGCCGATCCCTTTCTCTGGAATGCACGCCCCACCTGACCTAGGGAGTCAGCTCTCCGTTGACGTCCTACTTATCCCTCAGAGCTCATCACTGGTCCCTCTCCTTTCCCGGAGAATGTGATTCCTGTGGCCAGAAGAGACCACGCCTTCCTCCCCAGGCCTCTCCTGGGTGGCTTTCGAGATTATGCCTTCTATTAGCCGCAGAGGCCCAGCGGTGCCCTGTGGCGGTCTATGGCGTCTATTGCCGGGTCCAGCGCAAAGCCCTGTGTGGCAGTGCCCAGTGCCTGCCCGCCCGTGGGCTCTGAATCAAAACTATCTTTACGCACGGGTATGCCTACTGCTAGTGATCTTTCTGCATTAATAGTATCTTAGAATTTGTAAGCAGGAGAGAGATGTGGGCAACATAAGCCTTAAAATACCAAATTTCAATAACATTATCCCTCCATGGACGATCCAAACAAACATGGAAAAGGTATAATTCCTACGCAATTTTGTTCATATGACGTCTCGTCTTACTATTTTCAGTTGCACAAGAAGATCTCAGAGCCTCAGAATGGGAAATTCGCATCACGTAAGCACCGACTAGTATCAAGTGAACAGTTAAGCCTTAGAGTCAACTAAAAATGACAAATACAAACAGGCCCGATTAGGTCTCGGCCATGCACAAATCCGAGTGAAGTTGTAATCGACCTTTATGAGAAAGCTTGAACATTGATTGTCCTTAAGTGGAACGCTATTTGCTTGCTGGTGCTTATTCCCTCTGCTACACCCAGGTGACTGTCCCGCCGACATCTACAAGTGAACAGATCATATAATCCCGATTCTCCACCTCAGCACTAGTGACAATGCGAGTTCCTCTTCGCTGTGGGGCTGTCCTGTGCACTGTAGGATGTTCAGCTGCATCTCCGGTCTCTACCCACCGGACGCTAGAATCACCCCCTTTTGGCTTAGAGAGGTGACTTGGAGGCTCTCCGCTGGGTGTGGGCACCGGGTGTGGGGCGGACAGGGCTTGGGGGTTTGGCGAGCTGTTGGGTGCCGGGTACAGAGTCGCTGAAGGAGAACAGACGGGAGGGGCAGAGGACGGAGGGGTTTGGGTCGATGCCCCCAGCTGCTTCTCTCCACCCCAGCCTCCGGCAGCTGAGAACAATGGCATTTTGTCAGTTTTCCCCTCAAGTGCTAAGTGTCCCCATTCTCCCAAGCAGTTTGCCCTAAGGGGACATACTTTCTCTTGTCCCCTTGAAGGCTGTTTTCACACTAAGAAACTGTCAGAGAGAGAGGAGCCCATGTAATTTGGTGAAAACCGGGAAAGTAAATGAGTGAAGAAGCTGGTCTAGGAGCCGGTTACTTGAGAGAAATACTGGGAGGAAAGTGAATAATAGTTGCTGGGCGTTTGTTTTCAGGATAATTCTCCCTTTGGTGACTAACGAGGGAGTTTTAGCATTCTTACCAAGTCTTTTTTAGTTCATTTCTTCACAAGGTCCTGGTTTGGCTTTCCTACGCTTTTCTTATGGGTGATGGATTCCTTTTGCAGTGTAGTTTATCACAGAATCAAATTAGAAGCGAAGTAACTAGCTAACCCCAAATGAGCGGGGGCGATTCAGTCGGCTCAGTGCAAACACGCAGGAAGTAACTGGGGTCAGACACAGAACAAGGCCCTTCCGGTCTAGCTCACCGACTTCAACGACAAAACACATTCTCGCTGTAAGAATTTACACGAGAATTTAATGAAGAGAGGAAAAGGGATGTGAAACTTGGGGCAGGATGTTTTTTCCTCCCCAGTTAATTAAATAGCAAGTTTTGCTGTTGTCACACACGGCCACTTCATCAGCTAGGGTCCCTTCCCAGAGCAGGCCGGGGCCGCTAACTCGCGCCTGCGGTACACGCTGTCACAACTCACTGTCAGTTCTTAATCCACCCCAGACTGTGTGCGGCAGGGATAGGGAGCTGGCGATGACCTAGAAGTTAAAGCGCGTCGGAGGACAAAGCCCGGACGGGGTCCACGACGCGCGCGAAAGCCCAGCGTCTCGGCGGCGAGCGCGGACGCTCCGAGCACTGGCGGCGTTTTGCCAAGTCAGCCAATGTGTTCCTGATGGAACTGTTTACGATCACAGTGTCCCCGGTCGGGGCCTCGGGACCGCGTCACCGGACGCCGGAGTGGCAGGAGCTGCCGCACGCTCCGAGTCCGCCCCAGCGTCTTTCCTGAACTCTAGGAAGTTCTGCCGATTTGACGGATGAGGGTAAGACTACGTATGGGGTTAGTCACCTCGCTCGGTAACCGGAACGAGCTAACGACACCGTCCCCCGAGACAGAGAATGGAGGTCTGGGTGCCAAGAGAGAAAGTGACACTTATCTGCCCTCGGTTCTGCCCGGACGGCAGAGCTAGCAGAGGCCCCGCCCAGGGGGTTTCCGGGGCTGCCGCACCGGGGTTTGGCTATGGTTAGGTTCCCAGCACTGCCAATGCGCCTCATGAAAGGGAGGAGGGCAGGCAAGTGACCCCAGTCCCAGGACAAACTGGTCTCATCCTCTACCCACCCCCCCCATCCCTCCACTCCCTGGACCCCACCCCTGCTCCAGGCACCTCCCTCGTCTCCTTGGTTTCCCTGTGAGCTGGCTTAGCAAAGCTTTGACACGGCTGGCCAGGGGACAGGCCTTGCCGGAAAGCCACGTGAGACTCAGCATCCCAGGGAGAGGCGTTCTCAGGCAGGCTTCAGTGGGGGGAGGTCATTGGCAGAGAAGAGGAACCCACCAAGGTCATACACAGCCCGCATTCCAATTACCTTACGCAGCATTAATTTTTAAAAGATGGTTGTTATTGCTAAAACTGGCAGATTTCATGTAAAGATCCACATTTCTGGCTTCCTTTGAGCATCGGAACAGCTGGTGGCAGCGGGCCCGCATCCCCACACGACAGTCAGCCGGGGCGTGAGCCAGCCCACGCGCCTCCAGTCCCAGAGTCAACGTCCCTGTCTGCATGACCTGCCAGGTCTGCTGGGACCCCGAGGGGCGGCCCAGCCTCTCAGGCGGAGGGCCCAGGGGAGCCTCCCCCGCCTCAGCGGGGCCTGCCCCCAAGTTCCAGAGAGGCTCACCTGTGCCCCGATGTCCTGGGGCTGATTGCCCACGGCCACCCTGGCGATGCCGGGGAGGTCGATGAGGGTCAGATCGGGGACCTCGGGTGAGGTGATCTCCAGGCTGATGAGCTCGTGGCTGATGCCAACACCGTTCCCGGCTATGATGTTCTGGGCTGCAGAGCCCGCGAGGGGAAAAACCCAGAGTCCTCATGAGTGGCCATCCGAACATGCATGGAGAACATTACCACACATGCACGGTCCTCCTGGTCCCTCCCACAGCGCACGGGGCCAGAGAGGCAGGACGCGGGGACCCCAGGACAACTGTCCCGGACACAGCCGGGTGCAGGGCTTGTGTGATTTCAAGCTAGAAAAGTCGCCGGTCGAGGGTCTCAAGCAGCTCCTGTATTCGGGGTGCACACTAGAATTGGGGGCAGGACGCCTCTGTTTTGGAAGGGAGCCCCCGGCTGAGCCTGTGGCCACGGGGTTCTCAGGAAGCTGAGCCCAGCAAGTCACAAAAGGCCTCACCCTCAGGTGCTCCGGGCAGGTTCACTGGTGCGAAAAAGCCCCGCGGAGATTTGTTCTGATCAGGGTCATTTTTTGCTGGTCTGGCTGAGACCAGTGTGAAATCAGGAAAGCGGGGAGGCCGCTCAGGGGGACAGGCAGGCACCGGTGACGTGGGGGGGCAGTGCCGGCCAGAGGCCCCTCTGACGGGGTGCAGAAGTGAATTCCAGGAGCTTGGTTATCATCTGTCATCTCTACCGCTAGCCTCAAGCTTTGGTGAACCTGCCCCCAGGCCAGTGTGGGCTGTGCTTCCAGGAAGGACGGCTGGGGTCGGGGGGTGTGGTCAGTGCTGGGGATGCTGCATGGCGACGTGGCCACAAGATGGCCAGCCACGTTAGGTTAGAACAGCAGTGGCTCAGGACAGTGGTGACCAGGACAGCCGGGGTGTGGGGCGGGGTCCTGTGGGGGACACGTCCCAGAGGAGGGGCGGGTAAACCGAGACCCAAAGAAAGACTAGGAATTAGGTGATGGGAGGGGCCGGGGGGTGGCGAGGGCACAGCACGTGGGCGAGGAAGCCGGCGAGGGGGCGGAGCGGGTGCCAGCCCCGCCTGCAGAGATGCCCACCTCTGTGTATTTCCTTCTCCACCTGCAGCGGGGCCTGGATCTGGAGCTCCGTGTCCCGGTAGCTGATCTTCCCGCTCCACGGGGCCTCGCACGAGAGCTGCTTCTTCAGCTTCAGCTCCAGCGGACACCTGGTCGTGATTCCTGAGAGGGAGTTTCCCAAACACCCTAAGTCTCCTTTAAAATGAAGTGTCGCAGGTGCCCTTCGATCTTAGACCCCCACGGAGCTGCCCCAGTGTCTTCAGAAGCCTTGTCTAGAGCTTCTGTCTGATACAGACCCCCGTCGCTCAAGACCAGGCCCTAGAAACACCTTGGGTGTTGGCGGTGGGACCTGCGTCTGCCCGGGTGACAGCCCAGGAGAGGCACAGATGGAAGTGTGAAGCGCTGGGCTCTGCCCTGTAAGGCAGGACCGTCTCCTCCAGCCCGGCTACTCGCCCTGCGTCATAGGCCGGCCACTGGCATCGGGACTGCCCACTCCCTCACGCCTCTCCCCGAAATGCCGAACCCAGGGTGGAGCAGCGGCGTGCCTGTCCCAGACTCTGGCACTTGTGCGTCAGGCGCCCGGACCCCCGGGGACCTCACAGGACCGGCCGCCGGCGGCCGTGAGGAGCATGGGGCTCTTATTGGGGGGCTGTGCAGGCCTTTGGCGTCCACACAGCCTCCTCTGTGCTCGGGAGGTGGGCTTGGCGAGGCGGCCCCGGTTCTGGGGTTCTGGCTGGGCCCTGGGTTCTGGCCGGGCGTGGCCACGGGCAGCGCTGGCAGGAGGCGGAGCCCCCGAGGGGCCAGGATGGGCCCCCGCGAGGCCGGACCTCTTTCCTTCTCTTTTCCTTTATAATCGTTTTACTAAGTTGCACAACGGCTTCTTTACACACACACTTCAATGCTTTTTTAGAGGAAGACGTGTCCTTTCACACCACGATCCTGCTATAGAAGCTTCTCGAAACGTTGAGAAGTTCTTCAGAAGGAAGAACACGTCCCTGACACAGATTCAACGTGACCTGATTCAGGGCCGACGACGGCCGTGGCCCCGTGGAAGTGAGCTCGGGACACAAAGGTGTCGTGGGACGTCCTGCCCCCCGCCCCCCACCAGGCCGAGCACTCGGACCAACGCCGTCCAGGGCCTGCGGCCTGCAGGTGGCCGGCCGCTGTCCACCGGGCAAAGCTGGCCGGTCTGTCCATGCTTACCGCTGCCTCTGGGGAGGGCGACGCCCGACAGGGCCTCCAGCACGGAGCTCTTGCCCGAGCTCTGGTCCCCGATGACCGCGATGGCGGGCAGGGCCAGGTCCTGCTCCACGCCCAGGGCCCGCAGAGAGTCGATGAGGTCGATGCAGGGGCGGACCTTATCCTCGTAGTGGGCGAACAGGCTGCTCTCGGGGCCCTGGAGGAGGCAGAGCAGACTTTGCACCCTCAACCTCTGAGGGGCCCCCGCCGTGGGCAGTTTCCTGCAGAATCTGGGCATCTCCCGTGCTGAGTTGCAGACGGGAGGACAGAGGGGGCCAGGGGTGGCTGTTCCCGCCGGGGGTCGCTCTGCTGACGCAGGGCTGTGGGGCTGGCGTGGAGGGGCTGGATGGAGCAGGGAGGAGTTACTGAGAGGCGGGGGCTTCCAGCCTGAGGGAGCCGGGGACCTGGACCCTGGGGCTGCCAAACTGGGAGAAGGTGGGGACAGGGAGGGGGCTGGCCGTGCTGGCAGCAGCAGGAGGAAAAGCTCCTGGAAGGAGCCGCCAGTGCACGGAAGAGAAGCCCCCAGACGCATGTCGAGGGAGGCCATTGCTGGGTGTCTCTGGTGCTTGCTGTTGGGGACAGCTGGGGGACATGAGCGGTGCTGTTGAAGGTGGTGGCCCACCACAGCCACGGGCCGCCTTTCCTCGGGCTGGTGGCCGGAACGCGTCCTTCCCAGGTGTCCCCGCTTCCACTTACCTTCGTGTTTTCTCGGCTCCCATTTTCTTCCGGCAGCGGAGGGTTCAGCGTCAGCGAGTTGATGTTCTTGCAGAGGTTAACGGGGTCCTTGTCTCCCACTGACACGTTTGGGGGCATTTTCACGTGCCCTCTTGCTGAGGCGAAGAGCAGCGAGTGTTGCTGGAAGAGATTCATTTCCTTCTTCGGACAGTGTTGGGAGGGCGCCTGATTGTGCCTCTGTTGCAGCAAAGGCTTGTGGGACTTTGGCATTAGCCGGGAACCAGCTGGGGCGGGGGGCGCCTTTCCCGCTGCTCGTCACTTCCGGTCTTCCCGACAAGTTCTGCAGAGACACGAGATGTCACCAAGTGGTCACCAAGCGGTCCACCTTGCCAGCCCCAGTACAGCCCACTCCCTGCACACAGACACAGGGGAGCCCCGGAGCCCAGCGTGGGGGGGCTGTGGGCGGCAAACGGGCGCAGAGAACAAGCAGGGTCTCTAGGGGCCCCAGGGCTTGGAGCGAGGGGCAGCGGACTCCACGTTTCCACGAGAGAGTTTGAATGTCTCGCCGTCACTCCTGCTGGGCTCTGACAGGGGACCAGTAGGCAGCACTGTCTGACACAGCGGGGTACGGGGTGCTGGCCTCGCTCGGCCTATCCCAAGGCACGTGTTTTGTTTTGACAGCACGGGAAGGTCCCGTCGCTTGGCTAAGTCCGGCCTCGGACCCCAGCCTGCGACTCTGGACTCTGCCTCTACCCTAGGAACAGACGGACGCAGTGGCTTGAATGGTGTCTCCTCCACGCTCCCCTCCGCCGAGTTCATGTCCCCTCAAACTGTGAATGTGACTGTATTTGGAAAAAGGGCATTGGTAGCTGTGACTATGGTGAGGCTTTGGAGAGGAGAGTGAGCCCCAAATCCAGTAAGAGACGAGCAGAGGGGGACTCGAGACAGAGGCCGAGACTCCAGCCACACGGCCCGGGGCCTCGGGAATCCAAGGAGGGCCAGGGGCCACCGGACGGTAGGAGGGAGACATGGGACAGCGTCCGGCTCACAGCCCGCGGGGGGCGCTAACCCTGCCGGTGCCTGGAGCTGGAACTTTCGGCCTCCAGACCGTGAGATGATCCGTTGCTGCTGCTTTAGGCGGCTGGGTTGGGTACTTTGCTGCTGCAGCCCTGGCTCTGTAGGAGGGACTGGAGGCTCCAGGCCACGCCTCCCCGTTAGCCAGACTTAGCAAAGCCCACGCTGTCCTTGTCCTGCTCCAGCCCTCGGTCCAGCCCCTTCCTCCCTTCCTCACCACGGTGCGTGTCGGCGCCAGATGTCACCATGTCACTGCCCTTTCTACAGATTTCAGCAGCCTTTTTCAGAACGAAGTCTAGAGTCAGTGTGGCCGCCACCTAGTCTTCTGTATTCAGAGCATCTCTTCGCCGAATGCCAGGAAAGGTGAAATGTCCCCTTTCCTCCAAACGGATGTGCACGGTCACAACTTTGTGCGGGCCCTGGCCTGCTCGAAAACTGAGGTGTCGTCCGCCCCTTCACCCACCAGTCGAGAAGTACTTATTGAGGTCTGTGGTGGGCTGGATTGTGCCCCCGCCCCCCCAGATCAGGATGTCGGAGTCCCCGACCCCCGCACCTCGGAGCGTGACATTGGAGAGAGAGCCTTTGAGGTGGTGATAAGGCACAACGAGGCCATTAGCGGGGCCTGAGCCCCTGTGACTGGTGTCCTTCTGAGAAGAGAAAATGAGGATACAGACCGTACCGAGGGACCACCATGTGGTCACACGGGGAGAGGACAGCGTCTGCGAGGAGGAGCCTCAGAGCAGCCAGTCCTGCCGACACCTGGGTCTCGGACTCTATCCCCCAGGACCCCGCGGCCCCTCTCCTGAGCCCCGTGGGCCGGCGAGGGGGCGGGGAGGAGCTCACTGTCTGGGTGCCTGGAAAATTTGCCCGAAGTGATCCTATGTCGTGGGCGACAGGGTGGCCTGGATTTCTTCCTCCTGCTGGTGGTACAACCCAGAGAGGCCACCACAGCGTCCAGAGATGCTTCCCCCAGTAGGGAGTGCCAAGGGTGGCGGCACCGAGCAGAGCTGGAAAGGCAAGGCCGGCTCTACGCGGGGCTCGGAAAGAAGCACCCCGCCCTCCCAGACCCTGACCTCCGACTTCGGCCTCCAGAGCTGGGAGAGAATACGTTTCTCTTGTGTAAGCCACCCAGTTTGTGGCACTTGGTTACGCTGCCTAAGGACACTAATCCTGCATGGTTTGTCCCTCGATCTGTCCCCCGAATGCCACTATGGCTGGAAGACACGGCATCGATGTCTTCCTCTCATTAAAACGGAAGGCGTGATAATGTAACACCGTGTTACAAGATGTCAGCACGCGCTCCAGTCAGGTGCCCTGTCCCCTCAGGAGATGGACTGCTCCAGCAGGGGCCACCCGAAGCCACCAGGCTTTGGGGCTCCAATTCTGACACCACTTCCCATGAGCTCCCCTCCTCAAGAAATCAACTCAGTTCTGACACCATCTACCTGGAGACAGCAACAGATTCCACCGGTCAAGGGGTCAGGCCTCCCCAGCCACTCCTGTCCCCGCCCCCTCC